GGGTCGCGACCGTGAACGTTCAAATCTTTCTGCTAAAACCCAGTTTATCTTAACACTGGTACCCATCTTTCGCTCCGGCTGCTAAAACCCAGTTTATCTTAACACTGGTACCTATCTTTCGCTCCGGCTACTAAAACCCAGTTTATCTTAACACTGGTATCTATCTTTCGCTCTGGCTACATAAATTCTTTTTTACTTAGGACAAAAAGATGTTTTGATACGGAAACTATTCAAAATCATTGTATTCTCTTCGAAGACAAGGATCTTTGAAAATAGCGTTTGTATTTACTTTGCAAAAATACAACGACAAAGTCATCCATGCACAATCTTACACTACAACCAAAAAAGAAGAAAAAGGACGGTTCTAAGAGTGCCGCCTCAGGTTCACTGGCGACTCGAAGCAGAAGTTAACAGCTCGGTCGACTCATTCATGAAGCTCGTCACACTTGCTCCCAAGTCAACGAGCTGGGGGGCTAACTGTTGGGGTCGGATTTCACCCATCCTTTGAGACCGAGCCAAACTTCAACACCTCGGGTTATCCTGCTAGTCAGCTCGGGTACCCTGCCAGTCAGTCTGCCAGTCAGCTCGGGTATCCTGCCAGTCAGTCTGCCAGTCAGCTCGGGTATCCTGCCAGTCAGTCTGCCAGTCAGCTCGGGTACCCTGCCAGTCAGTCTGCCAGTCAGCTCGGGTACCTTGCCAGTCAGTCTGCCAGTCAGCTCGGGTACCCTGCCAGTCAGTCTGCCAGTCAGCTCGGGTACCCTGCCAGTCAGTCTGCCAGTCAGCTCGGGTACCCTGCCAGACAGTCTGCCAGTCAGCTCGGGTACCCTGCCAGTCAGTCTGCCAGTCAGCTCGGGTACCCTGCCAGTCAGTCTGCCAGTCAGCTCGGGTACCCTGCCAGTCAGTCTGCCAGTCAGCTCGGGTACCCTGCCAGTCAGTCTGCCAGTCAGCTCGGGTACCCTGCCAGTCAGTCTGCCAGTCAGCTCGGGTACCTTGCCAGTCAGTCTGCCAGTCAGCTCGGGGTACACAGTCAGCTCGGGGTACACTGCCGAGCCTTATACTGCAGTTACCCCGAGGCAAAGTCTCAGTGCTACCCGAGGCTCAGTGCTACCCGAGGCAAAGTCTCAGTGCTACCCGAGGCTCAGTGCTACCCGAGGCAAAGTCTCAGTGCTACCCGAGGCAAAGTCTCAGTGCTACCCGAGGTGAAATGTGTATTGTTCCCGAGGCGAAGTCTGCAAAGTCACCCGAGGCGAAGTCTTTAGTGTCACCCGAGGCAAAGTCTTCAGAGTGACCCGAGGCAAAGTCTCAGTGCTACCCGAGGCAAAGTCTCAGTGCTACCCGAGGTGAAATGTGTATTGTTCCCGAGGCGAAGTCTGCAAAGTCACCCGAGGCGAAGTCTTTAGTGTCACCCGAGGCAAAGTCTTCAGAGTGACCCGAGGCGAAGTCTTCATCATCACCCGAGGCAAAGATTTGATAAATATTCATCTTCAAAGTATCATTTCCAAACAAGGCATCATTTCCGAAGGGTCATTTCCGATAAACCCGGAAATGATAAAGGAGAATCACGAAGGATTAACTTAAATCAGGAAATCTTCCAAAAAACTCCGAAGAATAAGGAAATTATCCTGATCCGCGATATTCTACACCGACTTCAAGATAAATGGAAATCTTCCGAGAATATCGCTGGAGAGGCGGTTTATCACCCCTATATAAAGAGACTCAAGGCTCTCACAGAGGGGGAAGCAAGATCGCTCTAGAAATTACACTACGCAAAGCTCTCACAGCACAAACACTTTTCCTTTTACGATCAAACTCTTGTACGATCAAAATCATCTTTTCATTAATAATATCAAGAACACCATCTTTGGTATCAATCGTTTCTGTTGTTCTTTGAGAATTCACGATTATCGTATCCCTAAAATAAAATCCTAGACAAATCTTGATTGTGTGAGTTTCGACTTCCACAGTTCTCAAGAATAGGAACAAGCCCTTGCCTTAATTTGTTTACACTTGTACTAATAAAAGTTCTACAAGATAAAACTAAAGCTTATATACACTGTTTTCGTTTGTATGTGTCTTCACTTGATCTCTCTGTTTTCTTCTCTCCCACGTGCGACTTCTTTCTTCTTGTATACACTTAGAGCAATCTCAATGGGGGTTTCTAAACATGATCCTTAATAAATAATAAAATATATATATTATTTAAATATTAGATGGGTACCTTAAATTTGGAGAAACTTAGTCTAATTGTTTTTTTAACTAAGAAACAATTGGACTAAGTTTCTCCAAATTTAAGGTACCCATAATTAAAAAATATTATTTATCTATACTTACACTTTAATTTTATTTAAGAAACCAATGTTTAGAAACCCCATTGAGGGTGCTCTTATCATTCCTTCTTAGATTTATGTCGCACTTTCCTGAGAATAATGCTAAGCTATTAAATCATTATTACTCTCCATCTTCTAGCTAGTATATATATGGAAAACATGTAAATTGTAGTCTATTGAACGATACCATCGCATGGGTCATTAAATAGTTGCATGTTCTGTGACCTCGCTCCTTAAGAAATAGTTGATCTACTGCTGCCATAAGAATGTTTCTTGCAAAACTAATGTGTCGAGTGTAACAATAATGCTTATTTAAATCTTTTAAGAATCTCATATGTTCATCTCAAATTGGTGTTGGCTTTAAAATCGCAGATTTCTCTATTACCGTTCACATTGGGTTAGCATTGCCTCATTGGTATTCAGTAGATTGATGTCGACATAAGAAGGTATCTGGCATTGTTATTCTGGGTACAATTTGACATGCTTTGATGGTGATTGTCAAGTTTTGATCAAGTCATTTCATGGAGTGAGAAATAATATGCTAAAAAGATTCTTATACTAATATTTTCTGTTCATGCTAAATATATCCACAATAACTAACACAATATATTTGTACGAAAAAAAAAAATTACATTAATTGAAGAAGACACTACAAAAAAAGCTCACATTGATAGCACTGTTTTATAGCACGATTTTCGAAATTACTATCGAAGATAAAGTTGTAATTTGGTTTTGATATTATAGCAGTGCATAAATGCTAAGATATAGTTTTGGGATTATTGTTTAAAATGCCCTTTTTTGGGAAAAACTTACGAAAATGCCCTTTTTTGAATAGTTTACGGATTTTGTCCTTTTTTAACACTTAAAAATGTATGTATTTAGGATTTTTTTTTCCAAAAATACGTACTTTATACCAAATACTAAACCCTAAGAACAAATGGAACCGACTAAACCCAAACATAACGAGTGAAACGCATGTTAAATCATATTTTTGGAACATGAAAAAGGGCAAAATGCATAAACTATTCAAAAAAGGGCAAAATCCACAAATGCCCTTATAAAAAAGGACAAAATCCGTAATTTATTCTATAGTTTTAGTAAGCGGGAAACTTTTTTCACTTACTCCGCCAATTACTTAGCCAATTTTTCACTTTTTCGAACTCTTTTCTTATTTTCTCCTTTTTCTTTTGTTCTATCTCTTTTCATTTCAACACTTGCTCGAAAACCCTCAAGCTTAATAATTCTGCCCTAAAATCTCTTATACACACTAACTCCATCATCTAGCCACAAATTAAACCCTCAAGCTTAACACTTCTGCCCTAAATTCATAGCCGCTAGCTGTGTAACTTACCGTCGGCCCTAATTTCAGATCTATTTTCTGGATAGAACTCCGATTGAAGGCATGTGTATCTTACTCAATTGATTTATTTCTTCTATTGTACTTATTTCTTTTGATTCGGTGTAGTGACAGTTCTATAAAGTTTCGATTTTGGTTTAACGGTGGGGAACGGAGATCTGTTAGGAGACAAGGTTTGATAGAATCGGCGAGGTTTCTGAGTTGTGCGAGTAGCGGACGTGTGATGAGGGAGCCATCTATGATTGTGAGGGAGGCTGCGGCGGAGCAGCTCGAGGAGAGGCAGAGCGATTGGGCTTATTTTAAGCCTAGACATTCACGGTCTTTGTCGGCGACTTTACAGCCTAGACATTCACGGTCTTTGTTGCAAACATCGTCTTTCTTCTCATTTGATTCATTGCCGCTATTAAATTCAGCCGCCGATTTTGGTGTTGATGGAGGAGAAGTTCCGTTTTGGTGTCGATTGAGGTTTCAGATTGGTCTAATTTGGTGAAGGAATAACCGAGAGAAGGCTTTGTACAATTGAGATGGAATCAAAACGATTGGTTTGGCGCAATTCCAGGAGCGTTGAAGGAGCTGCAAGTGAGTTCATTTTGAATTTTCAATCCTATTCTTGTTTAATATGTAGAAATTTGATTTGGTGATTCTCATAACAAGTGTTTTTATGTCAACGAGAATGTTAATGTAAGTGACTTGGATTTGGTTCAATTTTCACTAAGGAATCACGTTGGAGGGTAAGAGATGGAGATTTAATTTGGGGATTTAAAGGATTGAAGATGGAGAAGGCGAAGGATTTTGTGTTGATTTTTGAAATATACATGCAGATGGTAGAACGATGCCACAAAGTTCTTGTTCGAAAGGCGCTGGAAGTGATTACAAGTTTATAGATGGATGGAATTTGTATGTCTTGATTTCACGATATCTTTCAAATTGTTTCTAATCGTGCCTGTTATTTGGTATTATGGATTGCAGATACTATAACTCACTTCCACCAATAACCAAGGTTTTACATGTTTCAGTTGATTGATAATGTGCATGTTGGTCTAAACGATTCTCTTTTACTTTGCATTCTTCTGTTGGATTGTGGCTTATGTGTTTTGTTTTCCTTGTTGTTCATTTTTTTTCCAGACCTTCATAAAAGGGATTTGACTGAATGGGAGGCAATTCAATGAAGATGTTGCAAATTACGTGTATGTTGATTTTTGCAATCATATTGTTGAAAGTTTTCTTTGTTTTTATATCGTGTAAAGAGTTTATGCATATTGTGATAATTAGATATAAGTTAATAGATCTCAGTTTGTTTTTTTTAATTGGTTATATGGCTGGCTTGCAACTGCTCATTGGGCTGTTTCAAAATAGACAAAGGTAAGTTTGTTTTCTTTCTTTTGACTTTGTAATTGAATTCGATGAGTGTCTCTACTTTTCCTATTTTTCTTCAACATCGTGACCCTTGACTGACTAAATATTTTTCCATGGAGCTGAGTGTTGATAATCGATTTGTGTATTTGCAGGAGTTAAAGTGAAGCCAAGAAAGTCGTTTACTCTTAAGGCTACTAAAGCAACAGGAATAAGAAGACGTCACCTGTCCCATCTTAATATACATGGGTAAGTTTGTTACTTCTAAATTAGTACTTGTAGTTCTTTTTGACTTGACTGATCTTTGGCTTATGCGACATTGGGGCATGAAATTAAATCTAGGGTAGTCAGACAAAAAATATCGTCTTAGGTCACCACAACAATCACTCTTATGTACTAGTATGTGAATTATCTAAACCAAGTTGACATAACATCTTCTACCTAATTTTCTTATCTGACAATATTTCTCACTTTTTATGTCAAATTATATGAAGCCAATGCAAGAAGATGAGCAAGCTTGGATGGGTTATATCTCAAGAAGTTAGTTTATCCTTATGATGTTAGTTTTATTTTGGTTAAGACTTAGGTATACTTTCGATGTTAATTAGTATAATGATTGGTATGATGTTATGTAAACATTGTTCAAAATTTATGAAATATTAAAGTTTTTCTATCCAATTAAATAAATTCTAAAAACAGGATTCAAATATAAGAATTATATAAATCAAATAGAAAAAATTGGAAAAATTCATAAATTGTTATGAACAACTAAATAATGGCATTAAATTATTGCTATGAAAAAGTAAATAATAACACTAATAAAGTGCTATTGTATATGAAGATACTATAGCAGACAAAATTAATGCTATCGTAGGTGGGGCATCTACCATAGCTGCCGAGATCATAGCAGTTGTAATTTCGCTATGTATTACCTACGATAGCAGTTTTTCCGCGCTATCAATATACGTTTTTCTTGTAGTGAGAGCTTACAAAGGAATATATCCATTACATTGAATAAGAGTTTACAAAGTCATTAAAAAGAAGCGGGTTGATATGATTCATCCAAGTATCAAACCCTAAAGCAACCAAATCCAAGCCCTAGACTTGCACAAAAAGAAAGTGCAAACTCTTAGATATATTATTGGTTTAGTGACTTCGTTTTTCGTTGCATCCGAGATTCCAATTACCTTGACCCCTTTAATCCTAACATATCATTAAACATGCGATGCAATATATTGAGAATCTGAAATGATGAGTATATATAACTAAGATATCGCATCCATTGTTGCGTAAAACAATGAAAAAAAAAACAAATTCATGTATAACTTTAGTTTGAAACGAATAAGAAATAAAAGATAACCATGAGAATGGATGACGGTTTCAATTTTACACCATTTTGGAAAACAATTTATCGACATTAGCGACTTTAAAAATTGCCTCGTTGGTATTCAGTAGACTGATGTCTACATATAAGAAGGTATCTGGCATTGTTATTCAGGGTACAATTTGACATGCTTTGAAGGTGATTGTCAAGTTTTAATCAAGTCATATCATAGAGTATTCAAAAGATTTAAGAAATAATATGCTAAAAAGATTTTTATACTAATATTTTCTGTTCAAGCTAAATATATCCACAATGGCTAATACCATATATTTGTACGAAAAACAAAAATATATACATTAAATTGAAGAGGAGTTTTCAAAAGAATATATCCGTTACATTGAATAAGAGTTTACAAAGTCATTAAAAAAAAGCGGGTTGATATGATTCATCGAAGTATCGAACCCTAAAGCAACCAAATCTAAGCCCTAGACTTGCACAAAAAGAAAGTGCAAACTCTCGGATATAGTATTGGTTTAGTGACTTCGTTTTTCGTTGCATCCGAGCTTCCAATTACCTTGACCCCTTTAATCCTAACATATCATTAAACATGTGATGCAATATATTGAGAATCTGAAACGATGAGTTTATATAACTAAGATATCGCATCCATGGTTGCGTAAAACAATGAAAAAAACAAATTCATGTATAACTTTAGTGTTAAACGAAACATAAATAAAAGATAACCACGTGAATGGATGACGGTTTCTATTTTACACAAGTTTAGAAATTTGTTCATCGGCATTAGCGACTTTTAAAAATTGATATTATTTATGAAGAAACACAGCATTGTTTCAAAAGAAAATACACACAAGTCATTTTTAACAGGCAAGAATGTAAATTATCGACTAAATATATTTAGGTCCAACGCATAAAATTTACTTTATTTGCGATTCTCTTGATCTCAGAAATCTTATCCAGTGTGGAAACAAAGCGAAAGAATAGACTTTTAAGATTCCTTAATTTCTTATGTTTCCGTATCTTGCTAGATTTTCTACGTACTATTCTATGTTTTTCCCAAAAACGTGCCAATATGTGGAAAGAATTGTGTTTTCCTAAAAAAGAATGAGGGCTTGATATCCAACGTATTCATGTGTCACGGATGTTCAGGTTAAGCTTAATTTGGAAACTAATAACTTCATCGGGTTTATTATTGGTGGTTACGACAATATATTATCCGTTAGGATACTTTTTAGGATGGTAAGGATTCTAATTTAGGTTCCAAGACATGGCAAAGCTATTGAAGTTAGGGTCAATTACGGTTGAATATGTACAGCAGGAGATTCGCAATTGTCAGCACTACTATACATACTTTTGTCTTTGATTTTTGGCATCCCACGGGACGCCTTCTCGACTCCATAGATGAGATATGCATTAGAAAATTAGGTGGTCACCTAAACTACGTAGTTGAGAATTTGCTATAAACATCTTGAAATAGTATGGCACATAAAATTAAAATCCTTTTCTTTTTTGTTATCAGCATTTGAATCCAACAAAATATGGCAATGGCATTCATAATCTTTTTTAGTTAAATTCTAAGGAGGAGGAAAACCTGACATAGCAATAAAATATATACAGGCAGAGGAAAGAAATTGACTTAATCAAAACTATTTTAGATATTTTTTATCTTTTAAATAATTACAAAGCAAATAAAAAAAAAGTAAATAAAGAACTTGTTTTAAAAATAATGTGCACACTTATGTTTACTTGGAGGTTAGTATTTAAAAAGATAGTTAAAACTATTTATTTTGTAATGATTAAACTTCTTCAAATAGAACTAAACTTTTTGAGGCAAATACATCAATGGAAACGAACTTAAAGAAAAAAACTTTTAAGTATTACAACAATTAAAAAAAAAAACATCACATATAAATTTTTTTTTTTTTTTAGACCGGATAAATTTTGTTTTCTGAAATGGAAAAAAAAAATGCAGATGATCAAACACTTCACTCGAAATACATCCTTTAGACTAGCTAGAGATCATTGGTGATGTTAGGAGCACAAACATCAGTGAGGACAGTGGTGATGGTAGTGAGACCATTGATTTCAGGTTGGTAGTTGTTGATGTCCAAGCAAGGAATGCCCTCGTTCTCTCCAACATTAAGATTTTGATTCAAATCCAAAATCATACTTTGATTTGAATCTATATTCATTTTCATATTAAAATCATGGATTTTCTTTGGAATCTGATCATAAAAATCAAAAAGAGTCTGATATTGGAACTTAACCGGCTTTTGCTGATCTTGATTTTGATATTGAATCATATAACCATCAAATCCGATTGGAGCAGATGCATCCACACCAATAGGAGCTGCCCCAATAGGAGGAGGTAAAGAAGAAGAAGACTCACCGTTCTCCGTAAGGATCTCAACCCTACGAATAAGACCATTGAGATACTTATCAATAAAGAAACTCAAATCTAGAAGATCTCTTCCATGAAGATGATAAACATCTATCTCCCCTTTGAGACAACCGAACATTAAATCTCGAATTTGAGAATTTCGGTTCTCATCACGTAGCTTTTGCAGTTTTTCTGTTTCTTTGGCGATCCTTTGACGTATAAATGTCTCTTGATCCACCATCTTCTTGGTCCGGTCTATCACCGAAAACTCCATAAAATTCGACACCACTTCTTCAACGCCTTCCTTTGATGGCCAAGCCTCCGGGATCGAGTTGTACGGGCTATTGATGACCGCACATGCTTCAACATCACATAGAGTCACTAGCTCGTGGAGTTTCTTCATGATTCCTTTCTTCCTTTTGGTGAATGTTGTTTTCCTCACTGTATCATTTTCTATGAACGATAACTTAACCTTCCCCCTCATATCTATTATCTTTGTTATGTGTGTTTTGTTTTGTTTTGTTAGAATGAGGAGGATTGTTTATATAGTAAATAAAAGGTTTTCAACTCAATAGGTTTTTCTTATTTCTTTGCTGGACTAATTAATTTTCAATTTTACTAAATTTTTAGGATAGATATTAGTTCCACCCTTACGTGTAGGCATGTGATATATTGAGGGTAAAGTGATAATCATTTAGTTTTACAGACAACCCATACATATATTTTACCTTTTGAGGAGGGCATAAAAACAAGACATTTAGGAAAAAAATTGTATCACATATGTAATGAGATTTATCCTTCATTTAGGATGTCCATTTAAAGGAAAAAAATTTACATCAAAGGTAATTTAAGATATTTCTTCAATCTCTAAATTTTTTTTATTTATTATTAATTTTATATCAATATAATTAATAAATTATTTAAATTACAGGTAATATTAGTTAGATAGAAAGTTATGTTATGGCTAAACCGTGAAGCTTATGAAGCTGATCCTACAAGTATTCACCATTGTCGAAGAGAATCCGGAGCTTTTAGGGTTTTTTAGTCTTCTCAATCAATAGAGTATCCAGAATTCAGATTCCAGAAGACTTGGTTCTAGACCTAGTTAGACGACCTAGTCTAGAGATTTGTTTACTTACACTGAAACTTGCATAATTTGTGTGTTTTTATTATTTTGAACCACTGTTTTCTCATGCCTTCATTGTTTTCTTTGCGTTAGTGCTTAGAGGTCATCAGTTTAACTCTATATAGCAAATTTCTCAGTTTATTCTAAAACCAAAGACTTTTAAGTTTAAATATATAAACACTACGTTCTTATGTAGTATACACAACAAATATCAGGATCTTGTAATATCTAAGTAAATATAACTCAAAATACAAGGGCTGCATGTTACAGTAGGCCAAGTGTCTAAAGGATATATTTATATCTATATAAAGATTAACAAATTAAAAGAAAAAGAAAAAATGTAATTGCTTCCAGTACTCTTCAAATTTTCAGGATCAGTTATGGTTTTTATGCCATTTATAACCCTAATTTAGCATGTGTCCATGGTGGATAAATCATCAAAGTTGTAAAAGAGAGTGCAGTAAGACGAGGAGGAGGTGAAGGCTGGTGATGGGTGATGGGAGAAGGAGAATTAGTTTATGTCTTTATTATACTTTGATCGGATTTTGTGGATAGAGATCGAGTTTGAGTACGTATAATTTGTGAATTGCTTTAGGTCTTTTTGAGACTTTGATCAGATTTTGTGAACGTATAAAAGTTTTGGTGAATTTTCATTAAATTGGATCGGAGAAGAGTTTACTAAAAAAAGAGAGTTTATATGATTCATCGAAGTATCAAACCCTAAAACAACCAAATCAAAGCCCTAGACTTGCAGAATTAGTCTCATTGGTGGAGTCTCTTGAGAATTGGCCCGCTTTCTCCAATCTTCTCGATGAGTTTAGTTTGCTTCGATTAAGTTTTGCGTTAATAAATTGGAACGGTGTAGTTAAGTTTATATTTTTAACAATTTAGCATCACATGCAATCTCAAGGCGTATCTAAAAGTTCTAACATTATGACTATCTCTTTTGTTTATCCTTTTTTCTAATTGAATAAAAATATAACATAATATGAGACGAAATTTTTTAAATTAAGAAATAAAACATAAAGTTAAGAGATTTGTGTGATTTTCAATAAACTAAAGTGGTATATATATATATATATATATATCCTTTTCAAATATAACACTTAAATCAAATATTTACTTTTATTCACACTTAAAATTTTAAAAGAAAATTCTAAAGTGATAATTTAAGATATTTAACTTGTAATCTCTTTTAACATGTTAAAATATATAAACTCACTAGATTAGATTACGGGGCTTTTGATTTGATTATATTAGATTATAAATATGATGATATGTCCAATGTTAAAAATACTTAAGTTGTGAATATGGTTTTACAATATATTCAACCAATTAGTTTAAATTTCAATATGGAGATTTTTATGAAAGAAATCATCAAGTATCTACCAATTCATTTGAAACCGTCAACTACATTAATTATTAATGAAAAAAATCTTAACTAAGAGATTTAAATGAAAAAATCCCAGAAATACTAGTCGGTTCATTTAAAACCCATTAACTAAGTTATTAACAAAAACCTTTAACAAAAAAAAAATTTATTGACAAAAAAAACCCATCGAATATTACAAATATAATTTAAACAAATAATGTAAAGTATCGACTATATACGTTTAGACGGAATGATAAATCAAAAGGTTTTTTTCACTAAAATGTCGTATGTGAGGGCTTTTCATTAATTATTTAGTTGTGGGCTTCTAAACGAACCAATTAATATGTGAATGATTTTTCATTAAAATCTCTTACTTGAGAAGTTTTTTATTAATAATTTTGTTGAGGATTTTAAAACGGATCGATCTATACTTAAAAATTGTTTTCTTAAAATCCCTCCAATATGAATTTCTCGAATAAATGAATAAAACATTCAGAATCTCCCAATCTGGAATATTTTCATGCAGTGTTATGGCTTTCTACTTTTATTTAACAAACGCATTAGAATATGAGTATATGATCAGAAACACATTTGATTCAGAACAAATAAAAATCAAATAAGTAATTAAATAAAGATCTTGGATAATCATCTCGATAAAAATTTGAAAAAAATATAAGTAAGTGAAACTAAATAATAATAAATTAAAATTACTTTAAACAGGAATTATACGATAATCGATTCACCAATTCCTTTTTAATAAATAGAAACATGAAATTAAAATTTGGAAACATGTGGTAATCTGTTTATTGGAAACCAAATATAAAAATCAATAAAAATTTAGTATTTGCTATACATTTTAAAATCCATTCAACTAATTGACTTATATCACGATCTCGTAACTTATTATTTTCGTACTGAACATATGTATGTTGGACGTATCTTATTTAGTTTGCTCTTGATGTATAAGTTAACAAAAAAAATATAGAAAATAAGTAAAGTTGTTTGGACAAAAAAGAAAGGACAATTTCAAAAATAGCACCAAAAAAAGTTTTTCTTCCAAAATTAGCACAACATTTCTAAAATTCCACAAATATCACCATAAACTTCAATTAAACTTAATTCAAATATAAGATTGAAAATAAAAATGAGAGCAAACACTAACCTAATATTAAATTGAATCAAAATTTCTTTTAAATAATGGAAATATATACCCAAAATTAGAAATAGGGAACCCAAATATAACACCAAAAACTAATACTAAAATTTAAAAAAATCTCTTTTGTATGGTGGAAATATATACTCTAAATTAGAAATAGGAAACCCAAATATAATACCAAAAAATAATATTAAAATGAATCAAAATCTCTTTTAAATGGTAGAAATATATACCCTAAATTGAAAATAGAGAACCCAAATATAATATTTTAAATTTATTTCTTGTTTAGTTTGGTTGAATAGTTTTTATATAGGAATTGTGGTTATATTGAAAAAATAAACTAGTGATAATACTTTTAGAACAAAAACTTAATAGTAGGACCATGTACACTGGTGATTTTTCTCAGTATCATTAGCCCAAAAACAATTTTATAATGGACCAAACCACTTAATTAGACCTGATCCGTATCAGTCCATTGATACATGTGATACTCAGTTTCATGCGACGTGTCGGTTTGCCATTGGACCGTGAATATATTTTTTGGTTAAAACAGAGAAAAAAAAAATCATTTATGGAAATGATTTCTGGAAACTCCACCGATTCTTCTTCGATCCATTTCATCTCTCCATACCTTCTGTGTAGATCTAGGTTTAGGGTTGGGTAGATGAAAGTCTTGGTTTGTCCCAGAGAGCTTGAACTAAAATACAAGAAAGTCCCCGGTCTCAGCTCTTTTGGCAGAGCCAAGGGGCGCAGTCACGCCGGAGCTCATGACCCTAGAGGCGGTCTCGCCAATGTGCTTAGGGTTAAGGCCACTAAGCCTAAGCTGATAAATATCTTCAAGCAACTGTTTAGGGTTTTTCACCTCTTTCTCAACTCTCTGTCGAAAACCTAGCAGTCGGCTCTTTCCCAGTTCTCCATGGGCAAGTCTAAAAACTTTGTTTGCTACTTCTCTTTAGGTAAGAGAGAGCCTGAAGATGATGTTGATACTAAAGTGAATCTTAAGAAGCGGAAGAAAGATGTGATTGCTGCTGTCCAAAAGGAAAAAGCTTTGAATTTGTTTCGGATTTGATTTAAATACTTTGTATTTGATTTAATATTTGTAACTGATTCTATTGTTTTCATGGTTTTGCAGCTGTGTGTGAGTAAGAGGATGGTGAGAGTGGTCAGATTCTGAAATGGTGACAAGCTGCATAGGTGAAAAGGTAAACTCCAAAATTGCTTTCAACTTTAAATTATGTGTGTAAAACTGAACACTTGAATTGAATATAGATTATGAAACTGAATTGAAACTGAATTGAATAGAGATTAGGAAGTGCATACTTGAATTGAATTGAATAAATTTATGAAACTGAACATGAGTGAAACAAAATTGAAACTGAACCCTTAAATTTAATAGAGATTAGGTAGATATGGTTGAGAATGCAGTTGTCTTTAAATGGAACAATGAATACATATGAAGTAGAAAGGAAATTGAATGGCATCTCTGTAACTTGAAGTCTGTTTATTGTTCAATGCAAACTGTGAGAATAGTTTCTGCAATATTCTTTGTGTCGTTGGGTTTTCTTTTTAAGAATTTGTTTAGATATAGTTAAAGTGAAATTAAATGGTGATGAGACATTAGTCAGCTAGACTGAAGTTATGTTGATGGCTAGGGTCTCAGTGACTTCAATTACTAAATCAAACACATAGTTCAAACACATTAACACCCATATTCAATAGAAATTAGGTGGATTTTTATTGAGTCTTTTCCTTTATAATTACTCTATGAGAACTTAACAAACCACTTAAACTAAACAAAAACCCAAAATGGCTTCCACCTTTAACTTTTCCTCCTCTCAGCCTTTTACCAATTTGTTGTTTAGCCAAGAAGAAAACCCAACACCTCTCAGTCTTTCACAGCCTTCTTGTTCTGAATCCCAAACACCCACATCCTTAGCTAGGGAACCTAGAGTGAGATGGAGTCTTCCTGAAGAGAAGGCACTTGCAAGTGCCTGGCTCAACACATCCAAAGACTCAGTTGTGGGGAATGAGCAGAGATCAGCAGCCTTTTGAGATAGGGTTGCATCATATTATGCTGCGTGACTTGCTTTCTCTAAGCACCATCTGAGAGGCAAACACTTTAAGCAGAAATGGCAAAAAATAAATGAGCTTGCATGAAATTTGTTGGCTGCTATGAGTATGCATCTCGGACTCCTCGCAATGGAGAGACTGACGATGACATTCTAGTGCTGGCCTACAAGCTTTACCACCAGGATCAAAAAACCAAATCAGTCTAGCATGTGTGGAGAATCCTCAAGACTGATCAGAAATGGTGCAATTGGTGTGAGACAAAAATCAAACCTGTCAAGAAGAAAGCTAAAACTTTCTAAGGTAGAAGAAAAGAGTTTTCAAAGGCTTATAGGGGTCAAGGCATCCAAGGCTTTAGCCAAGTCCAAAGGTAAGGGAAAGAGCCAATTCTGTGGCTGAACTTCAAGGTTTGTGAGAAAAGAAGGAGAAAGATTTTGATGTCAAAGAGAGACTCTCTAAGCAGAAGCTCCTTGACAGCCTTCTTGGAAGGTCTGATGGTTTGAGTGAGCTGGAAATTGAACTCAAGAACACTCTTATCAAAGAATCTAGTGGTATGTATTGTTAATTAAGTTTTTTTGTTTACTTAATTATGTAAATATGTAGTATTATTTGATCTTGTTTGCTTAATTATGTGCAGGAACTCCTCTAGAATCTAGTGGTGTCGGCAAGGAAAGGAATCTGGTTCTTTGTTGCTTTCATGTAAAGTTGTATTGCTTTGTTTTATTCGGATGTACCAAACATTTTCTATGGTCACAATGTATTAGTACTTTATGGTCAGATTGTTGTTTTTTGTTTTTATTTTGTATGGTCACAATTGTTTGTATTATGTACTTTATGACTTTGTTGTATTTTCACAAATTCTCTTATATATATAAGTTATATCTATGTTCAATACAAAAAAAACACTTCTCATATTTCTATTACAAAACTCTTCTCATATATCTCAATCTCCTCTCAATACAAATATTTGTCAATCTTCTCTCATTACAAATTTCTTTGTCAATTACAATTACCATTACCAAATCTCTTTTTATTGTTTTACTTCTCAAAGTTTCTTGTACGTTTTATTGTTTTTTTATTTCTTTTAAGTTTTTTCTGAAAAAAAAATATTGGCATCTCATTCTGATGATGATGACACTTTAGATGATATTATGGAGGAAAGATTTGAAAAATGTTTTGAAGATGGTTTAGATAATTACAGTAGACGTGTAGCGGGGAAAGAAAATAAAAAATGGCTGCTAATATAGAGAGAGATCGCGACGAAGGAAATGTTTCATTATGGAACGATTACTTTTCGGATGACACCGTTTACCATGATCGCATGTTCCGACGATTTAGAATGAGCAAGCCCTTGTTCGTTCGTATTGTTCAATGTCTCTGTCAATTTCCATATTTCCAACAAAGGGGGATGCTACTGGAAAGCAAGGTCTATCTGCCCTATAGAAATATACAGCCGCAATTCGGCTTCTAGCGTATGGTCTTGCAAACGATGCGATGGACGAATACCTCCGCATGGGGGCAACCACTGCGGATGGATACCTCCGCATGGGGGCAACCACTGAGCCAAGCCCTAGAGCATTTTGTAGATGGTAAAATAAATTTATTCTAAAATGAGTATTTGATGAGGCCTACACTTGAGGATCTCCAACGATTACTCCATTATGGAAAGGAACGCGGATTTCTGAGGATGGTAGGAAGCATTGATTGTATGCATTGGGAGTGGAAGAATTGTCCTACGGCTTGGAAAGGCCAGTATTCACTCGGACATGGAAAACCTACTATCGTTTTAGAGGCCATGGCATCACAAGATCTATAGATTTGGCACGCTTTTTGGGGCTCCGCGTACGTGTAATGATATAAATGTTCTTGACCGCTCACTGGTGTTTGATGATATATTAGAAGGTCGAGCTCCACGAGTCAGTTCTGAAGTCAATGGACATCAATACAAAATGGCTTATTACCTCACAAATGGTATATATCCGAAGTTGGCAACAGTCATCCAATCAATTCCCCGACCACAAGGACCGAAAACATCATTATTTGCTTGTTGTCAAGAAGCAGTGAGAAAAGATGTCGAGCGTGCTTTTGGAGTCTTGCAGGCTCGGTTTGCTATTGTTCGAAACCCAGGTCTGTTTTGGGATAAAGAGAGAATGAGAAAGATAATGAGAGCATGTATCATATTGCACAATATGATTGTAGAAGATGAACAAGACCAAGAGACTCAGTTCGATTTATCTGATTTCGTAGAAGGCGAAGAGAGCGGGACTTCTCATGTGGACTACTCTTTTTCTACAGAGACATCTACAAATGTGAACAATATGATGGTCAATCGAGCTCAAATTCGTCAAGAACAAATGCATCGACAATTGAAAGAATATTTGATTGAGCATATTTGGCAAAAATATGGCCAAGGTAATTGACTTGTGACGACTAAATTATCTTTATCATCATGTTTTTTAATGTTTTTTTGAATTTTATGTTTTTTTTCTTAAGTATATTTTACGTTTTTATAGATTGTAATATTACCTTTTGTAATTCTATATTTTTATATATTTATTTTCGATTTTGCAAATAATTTTTTTTATTAATGATAATGATACCGGTCTCACCACTGGAAACATATTTATTAACAGTATCATAAAAAATCTCAAACAATAAACAAACATTAAAATTAATACTAAAAGATTGTTAATGATACTCTATGAGTACCAACTATATGCATGATCTATGTCAACTAGTGCTATTTTTGGAAGTTTATGGACTGTGTGCTATTATTGTCCATAAATCTTATTTTAGTGATATTTTTGGGAATTTCTTAGAAAAATGTAACAATTTTAGTTAATTGTTTTTTAAGAATTTGCATGTTATCTTTATGTTTTCGTCAAAACACATGTTTTTATGAACGTGTGTTATCGATTTTGGGTGTTATAACTTATAACTGTGGGGAAGGGTCCCATAATGGTAACAACCGTAGCTGCCAAAAAAAACAAAAAATGGTAACAAAACATCAGAGTTCTTAAGACCACAAAATGTGGACACATGTTATGGTGAAACCATGATGTTATTATGAAATACGAGCAGCTTAAGCAAATGACTGATACAAAGACGTGTTTGCAAAATTAGTCTAAGCATGAGTGAACATGCATCTTTTATTGAAATCTTTAACAGCAAAATAAAAATAAAACTATTACTAGATCTTAGTGATATTAACTTTGAGACCATGTTGCATGCGAAAAAGAACAGAAGGAACAGGTTCGGTTTTGTGCCCTTCAACGACCTTGATGTCATAGTTTCGTATGATTTCCGCAGCCACGGTCTTCATCTGCAAGAACGTTAACTTTTTTCCCAAGCAAGCTCTTGGACCAGCGTTAAACGCCAAGAACTTATATGAAGGTTCATGTTTTAACCTTCCACTGTATGAAATCCATCACTCTGGTCTGAAATCTTCCGCGTCATCTCCCCAAACAGATTTCATCCTCCCTAATGCATACATAGATATGACAATCTTCCAATTCTCATCGACTTTATGCCCACTTGGAAGCACGTCTGGCATTGCCGGTGACTTGTGGTTAAATGGGACTGGTGGATATAACCTTAGCGTCTCACACACGGCACCGTGTAGATACACGAGCTTGTCTAAATCTGCGGGATTAAACCTCGGCATCTTCTTGTTAACCTCTTGTCGAATCTTGTTCATTGCTTCAGGGTTCTTGGACAGAAGCCAGAAGAACCAAGTGAGAGCTGAACTTGTTGTGTCTCTTGCCGCTATCAAGAAACCCAAAATAGTGTCTTTGATGAATTTATCATCACTCGGTTTCAAGTTCTTATACTTGGTCGTGTCCACAGTCATGTAGTATGTCAAAACGTCTATGGCCTCTCCTCTTGAGTGATGTTGAGTCCCATGACTTTTGATCTCCTCTCTTTTGGTCGTTATGATCTTCTCAAGAAGTTGATCGAAAACCGCAAGACCTCTTTTCAATCGCTTCTCGACTCCTACACCAATCCAATATTGGAACCTCCACAGGAAAACCGGCTTAACATGCCTATAGAAAACCCCGTCTGAAACACCATCAACCGCGTCACCAAACTCGACTTTAGGCATTTCAATGGATAAACATTTTGGATCATACCCGGTCATCAAAATCAAAGATGTATCAAACAAGAATCTCTGGAACAAATCTTGGAAGTCTACAAGAATATTTTTATCAGCAGCGTTCTCAAGAATAGGAACAAGCCCTTGCCTTAATTTGTTTACACTTGCTCTCACCCAGAACCTTTGGAAATCTTGATGGCTAAAAATGGCATGAGACGAGTTCCTCATATCCTCCCACAAACCCGAGTCAACGTTGAAAATGGAATCACCCACGACTTCAAAGATCTTCTTAAACTCCATACCTTTGGGGTAATTAGCGAAATTTGAGCTTAATTAGAATGTGGTGGATATTCACCGGATCAACAGTGAGCAAGATGTCCATTCCACTAAGATATGGACCTTTGAAACAAAACGTCATATCGGTGGCCTCAAGAACCTCGGTGATCCAGTCGTAGATACGAGGCACTTGGAGGAGCAGACCCGGAAGCATCCCAAGGACCGGCCAGTTCGTGAGCAAAGGCTTGGGAGATTTCTTGTGGAGCAATAAATATTGGAAGAAAATGAAGAAAACAAATGCTATGAAGATTTCAAGTAAGCCTATGACTATCGCCATTATAGTAACACAAACCGTTTCTTTTTTTCTTTTGGTCAAGAAATTGTTTTTCTTGTTAGTGAGTATATGAATTCGCTTACGATGTATAACATGTACGAAATTAAATGTATACACATTTATTTCGATCCGTTGCATTGGGATGTGTAACGACATTAAATCATATTATAGTGAATGCGCAGAGTTGGGTCCATATTTTGTGATAAATGCCACAATTAAATTTTGTAAGATTCCTGCAAATTATGAAAGTTTACATTGATGTCCAAAACATAAACCAGTACCCATAAGTCTTTTTCTAATCAGAATACTTTATTTGTAAAAATGGACTTCGAAGTCCAAGAATGGTATTCGTAATAAATTTGAAATAAATATAGTGCATATATATATATATATATCTCGAAAATATTAACTATGAAAAATCTAAAAAGATTTTTTGAATTATATATAATTAAAATTCATAGTTAATATTAAACCAAACATTATCCAAAATATTTACTACATCAACCCAAAATCTAGATAATTTTATCATATAATTAAATCTCATAATTTGTATCATGATTATTAGTTTTAGTTTTATCATTATCTAAGATTTTCACAAAATAATAATAAACAATTTTGAGTATATAATTTTTTAATATGAACAGTTTAACTGGTGATTTATTCTCTTTTAAATTGATATAATTATTTTTTAGTTCTAATATTTAAATTAATAGTTTATTTGGAATAAATAAATTTACATTATATAATTTAAATTTGTAATTAATTTAAACATAAATATAGTGTTTTAAAATATATGTATATATATTTCAAAAATATTGATTGTGAAAAAAACAAAAAACATACTTTTCAATTATATACAACTAAAATTCGTAATTAATATTAAACCAATCATTATTGAAAATATTTACTAAATCAACCCAAAACCTAGATAGATTTTAAAAAAACTTATGTATGAAAATTCATAATTTCTATCATAATTATTAGTTTTAGTTTCATCATTATCTAACATTTGCATAAAATAAAATAAAAAAAAATTCGAGCATATTTTTTTATAAACAGATTAATTTTGATTTTTAATGAATATTTGTAAAAAGTAATTAATCAAATTATTTTATTTTTTGTTTTTTATTTTTAATTATTAATCAAAGACAAAAATTTCATTTTGTAATAATAATAAGGTACATCTCAAATTTATCAAAATTATAGTGTACTTTTCAAATTTCTAATAAGATTTAAGGTATACAATCCAATTATTCCAAGAATTATATTTATATGTAATATCTGTGTAAGGAGATTCTTCATTTATTTTAAGTTGCATGTACACTGGCGGTTTATAGTTTTGATGCGAAATTTCTTTGAAGATGAATCTCTTAAAGATCAGTTGTTTGGTACCTCTACACCATCTACAATATTATTGGTCACATGTTGTTGACTAATTATTATTATTATCATTAATTATAGATAACATATTCATTTAAATAGAATTGTACAGAGCATTTAAAATTAAATAATAAGAAAATATAAGAAAACTATTTAGTTTGAGTATGATTTTATTTTTAAAAACTTTTATCGTGATCATGGCCATAGTTTTGTTATTAAATAAATTCTAATGTGTTTCATATAAATTTTGATACAATTTAAAAGGATTTAAAAACTAAAACCAAAACAAATTAGTAAACAAGAAATTATTTTGATCACTAAATTTGACCAAATATAAGCCATTAAAATTTAAATGTTATTATTTTAAGGGAAATTGTTAAAAATACCCCTTTTGGTGTGCCCCTTTTCAAAAATGCCCCTTTTAGATGTCCATTTTCAAAAATGCTCTTTTTTAAATCTGAAATTTTTATAAAGTTTTATTAGGTTTATAAGGTACTTATGGATTATAACTACTACTTGAAGACTCGATCCAAGTATTTATAAGGTTTTATAAGGTGTTTTTAAAGGTTTTACAAGTTATTTTAAAGGATTTTTAAGGTTTTTCAAAGGTTTTACAAGATATTTTATAGGTTTTTAAAGGTATTTAAAATGCATTTATAAGGTATTTATAAAGTATTTATAAGATTTTAGATACATAGAAATGTAGTTTGTGTATGTTTTAATAATATTACATACATATTTGGGTAAATCTTATACTTTTAAAAGCATTTTTTATAAGGTTTTAAAAAATGTGTATTTTTGAAAAATGGCATTGAAAAAGTGGCATTTTTGCAAAAGCCTTTTTTTAAAAATTCTTGTAATTGTATGTGCGGCTTTTAATTTAGATAAAGTCTTAAAAATTAAAAACTGATAAATTACAAAGGAAATATAAAATCTTAACTAACGTCGGAAAAGGATAAACATTAAACATACATCTATCAATAATCTAAGGAAAATATAATTATTTTTTGTTTTTAGGGAAAAGAGAAATAAATATTCCGATTCCAATTTATACACGTAACAGTACTTATCTTCGAATTAAAATAGGAAAAAAAAACTAAGGTATATCCTCTATATATATGAACACCCACACATGGAAGCTCTGAAACATCCCAAAGCAAATCTAAAAAAAGCTTTCTCAAATTCACGTAACCAAATAACACCCTAAAAGCTCTGGATTCTCTTCGAGAATGGTGAATACTTGTAGAATCAGCTTCATAAGCTCCATGATTCTCTTGCTCTTTATCAATCAGTCGGCTCTTTCTTCTTCTGTACGCATCGGTCTACAAGAAGGTCGAGATCTTGTTCACCATCGGACACTTGATGAGATTGAAAGAGCGGACAAAGCACGTCTCAGTTTCTTGTTTAAAACGATGGAGGAGGCCTATGATTCCAAATTTGATGAGGATATGCCGCTCCCCCCCATGGCCTTATGTTAGGGTTAAAGGGGTCGAGATAATTGGACGCTCGTATGCAAGGAAAGGCCAAGTCACTGAGTCAATAATATATCCGAGAGTTTGCCGTTTCTTCTTCTGCAAGTCTAGGCCTTTGATTTGGTTGCTTTAGGGTTTGATACTTCGATGTATCATATAAACCCTTTTTTTTACTGACTTTGTATCATGACATTGTAAACTCTTCTTCAATGTAATAGATGTTTTCTTTTGTAAACTCTTCTTCAATTTAATGTAATTTCACCAAAACCGTTTCCTATTTTTTTGGTCAAACACTCGTTACCTATTTTCTAACTTTTTAATTTTTTTCTCAATTTATTAAGCAAGATCCAAAGTACATAAGATACGTCCAACATATGTTTCTAATTTTTTTTTCATCGTGTTATATTTTTTTTTCTTACTTTCACAAATTATACGAACACAAAGTACATAAGATACGTCCAACATATTGAGACGAGCGATGAATGCTTCAAAGACTGCTCTCATCTTTACCGATAAAATATATGAATGTTCTACAAGAGAAGCAATCAACTCCCACATCATAAGGCAATCAATTTTTTTAATAAAATTCATGAATGTATATTATGTATTCTCCAATGCCTCTTGCTCTTGAAGTCTTGATGTTGGGACCCTATCTTATTACTTGAAAAGTGAGCCACTGATCTAAGTGATCGAGACAATTAACTTCATCATCCTCCTGATGAGGACGAACACTTATCTAAGTATTCTACAATAACTTCATCAGAGTCCTCCTGACATAACACACATGTTTTTTTTTTTGGTATCAATAACACACATGTTGTCAAATTGTTCGGATATTTAAAATTTAAAAACATGTGTTATGTTAAGCGGAATCTGATGAAGTATCAAACATGTTCTGTTTATACATGTACATGTATGATGTATCAAACCTATTTCTGTGTCAGCCATCTCAAGATATTTCCCTAAAAAAGAAGACTTCGCCATCGTAAAACTTAATTACGACGTGCCATTAATAACAAGAACATTTTTACTACACCAAAAAAAGCTCATATTCTTAGCCAAAATACCCTCCCATAGACCCAATCCCATATTTTGACTAGATACACATACCACATTAGGAGGATGTTTCACTTGAAAGCACAAAACAGAATTTCTAAAGTGCACTTGGATTATTATTGAAATTTGAAACACAAAGGCCCATTAAGAGCCCAACCAAAAGGTTCACAACAAAAAGAACATAAAGAAAACAGAAAATGAAACATCTACACGATAGGGAAAGTCTTCTTCTTCTGCAGACATCACCACACAAGTGCACGAGCTTTTGACCACAGATCACAAAGCTCAGAAGCTTCCACCACGAAGACGAAGAACCAAGTGAAGAGTCGACTCCTTCTGGATGTTGTAATCAGCTAAAGTCCGACCATCCTCGAGCTGTTTACCAGCGAAGATGAGTCTCTGTTGGTCTGGTGGGATCCCCTCCTTGTCCTGAATCTTAGCCTTGACGTTATCGATTGTGTCTGAGCTCTCAACCTCCAACGTAATGGTCTTGCCTGTCAAAGTTTTCACAAATATTTGCATACCACCACGAAGACGCAACACAAGGTGAAGGGTAGATTCCTTCTGGATGTTGTAATCAGCCAAAGTCCGACCATCCTCAAGCTGTTTCCCAGCGAAGATGAGTCTCTGTTGGTCTGGTGGGATCCCCTCCTTGTCCTGGATCTTAGCCTTAACATTATCGATAGTATCGGAACTTTCAACCTCCAAAGTTATGGTTTTCCCGGTAAGGGTCTTTACAAAGATCTGCATACCACCACGGAGACGAAGCACAAGATGGAGGGTAGACTCCTTTTGGATGTTGTAATCAGCAAGGGTGCGTCCATCTTCAAGCTGCTTACCGGCAAAGATAAGCCTCTGTTGGTCTGGTGGGATCCCCTCCTTGTCCTGAATCTTAGCCTTGACGTTATCGATTGTGTCTGAGCTCTCAATCTCCAAAGTGATGGTCTTTCCAGTGAGGGTCTTCACAAAGATCTGCATACCACCTCTGAGACGAAGCACCAAATGGAGGGTAGACTCTTTTTGGATGTTGTAATCAGCTAAAGTACGACCATCCTCAAGCTGCTTACCGGCAAAGATGAGTCTCTGTTGATCCGGAGGGATACCTTCCTTGTCTTGAATCTTTGCCTTGACATTATCAATAGTGTCTGAGCTCTCAACCTCCAAAGTAATGGTCTTTCCAGTGAGGGTCTTCACAAAAATCTGCATACCACCTCTAAGACGAAGCACCAAATGAAGTGTAGACTCTTTCTGGATATTGTAATCAGCGAGTGTGCGACCGTCCTCAAGCTGCTTACCAGCAAAGATAAGCCTCTGCTGATCCGGAGGGATTCCTTCCTTATCCTGAATCTTAGCTTTAACATTATCAATAGTATCTGAACTTTCAACCTCCAAAGTAATGGTTTTGCCAGTCAACGTCTTCACAAAAATCTGCATACCACCTCTTAACCTGAGAACCAAATGGAGTGTTGATTCCTTCTGGATATTGTAATCTGCCAAGGTACGACCATCTTCTAACTGTTTACCAGCGAAGATCAATCTCTGCTGGTCAGGAGGAATACCTTCCTTATCCTGAATCTTTGCCTTAACATTGTCAATGGTGTCAGAGCTCTCAACCTCGAGAGTAATGGTCTTGCCAGTGAGTGTTTTCACGAAAATTTGCATCTGGAAAAAAAAAAGAGGGCAAAGAAAAAATCGATCAGCAAACAAAACTTGATTGATCCTAATCACAAAGAGAATCGCACATGATAGTCCTCGAAAAAACCCTAATTTTCTATGAGAATCGCAAAATCAATCAAGAATTTGAACAGATCCAAACCAGTAAAACGCAAGATCACTTAAGAAGCGGCAACAAATTAACCCTAACACGATGAAAACACACACAAAAACTAATTGATGATTGTTCTCAAAAAAACCCTAAATTTCTAAGACAATTGGACAATCAAACACGAAATTGAACAGAAGTAAGCGAAGAGATTCGGATCAAAAGGTTGGATTTGACGAAACGAACATATAATTTTTCGGATCAATTAAACAAAGATTCAAGGAACCAGAATCGGAGATTAGAGGCAAAATCAAAAGAAAACGGATCAGAAGAAACAAGTACCTTGAAAGAGAGAATCGTAAGAACTTTTGGAAGAGCGATTTATTAGGGTTTGGAAAAAGATGAACAAGTAACGATGAATGGATTTCTTCACAAAAGGAACAATATATATAATCCTTGGCGAGAAAAGGAACAATAAAAATGTAAAATTATCAGTTGGAAGATCTATTCGACACGTGTAAGTTTTGTCACCGTTCGTTTTTTATTGACCGACTCAACTAGAATTCTAGAATCATCCTATGGGTGGGGGTCGATGGATTAGGTCATCAGTGACATACACAAAATTATTGTTTCTATTTTTTGCTTTTTCATTTCCTTTTCCTCGAAGTATTTCTTTTCATTTATAATAATATTCTTTATTTCTTTACATTGAGACTTATAATAAGATAATCAAATCATAATATATGGAGATTACAATACTACAATTCATCTTTTTTATTTTAAGACTATATATTGATTATAATAGTTTACATTTATATTAGCTAAAGAATGATTAAAAATTAAGAAAAAACTTTAACAAATTCAATCCGTTGAAAACGGTAAAAAGTTAAAAATTTGACCGTTCAATATGTATGTAGATAAAATAAATAAATAAATAAACGTATTAATTTGATTATATCAGTATGGTATATTAGGATAGATATCCGGTTAAATACATTTGAAATACTAATTAGGATTGAGTTACGTTTTTTTGTGACGAAATTCAAATTATATAACAAAATTATTAAAAATTAGAATCAGAAAAAAAAAAAATGTAAAAGAAAACTATTTTTTTTTTTAACTGTGTTTAAATTTTGGAACAGTACCAATGTTGGGCCTAACTTTTTGCTATGAACCCAATATTAATTCAGTAGACCTACATGACATCTTTACGCATACAATTCAGTCTCATAGTCATAGTAAAGGACTAAAGGGATCAAAAACGTATTTTTATTGCTAATGCTAAATGAAACTTTCATTGAAGCTGAATCTTATTGTCTCTTGTGGGTTACTTAATAATGGTTGTTTTCTCTAACAAAAATATTGAATGTAGCGATTGTCCGAATCTTGAGAATAAACACATTTTCTATAATAATTTTAGAAAATTTTTAAAACATAATTAAGTACAAGACTATATATTTACGTAAAAAATCATGATTAGAATATCTTAATAAATATTTCAAACTTGGTAATCCGAGATTTTTTCTTTCAAAAGTCATAACTATAGATTTCATGTCCAAAATCTATTAAAATAAAAATATTGAAAACTTGTGTTTTTTTATTTATTAATTTTTTTATTATTAAAATAAAAAAGAATGCACAGATATATATGTCTCTTTTTCTTCTTTTATTGTGGTACAGTTCTAGTTGGGACAGCGCATGCTGTGCTCTATCAAAAAGGAAATGTTCTCTTCAAGGGAAAAGTTGAAATATAAAAATTTATTGAGAATTACTCCTCAAAAGCATCCCTAGAGAGATAAAATACCCCATTATAGAGCTCCAGCTCTATAACACAACGTAACGTATGTTCTAATTCTGGGGTTTACATATACTCATCATTACTGTTATAATTGAAATTGAAGAAGATTTATTTTTAATTAAAAAAAACTCAATATAGATTAGTTATAAATGCATTTCTAATGATTTTCTTAATATTATTAGAAATAAAAAAATGTAGATTTTAATTTTAATTCAAAAATGGTCATGAATTTACAGTCAATAGTTAATGGTTCTGGTTTGTACTAGATTCTATATTTTATGACTGAAAATCTATATATATTTTTTTTTCGGAGTTGAAAAAAAAGAAAATTGGAATCTAGTTTCTATCGTTTTGGCGGCATGGCCGAGTGGTAAGGCGGGGGACTGCAAATCCTTTTTCCCCAGTTCAAATCCGGGTGCCGCCTCAACAACAGACTTTAAATAACAAACGTAGGAAAACGTAGGACAAGACTCTTTATACTTTCTTTTCGTTATTCTAAGCCCCTGGCTCTCGAGGTTCTATTCTCTAACCTAAAGTTTTGCCTATCAGATTCAAGGAAAACTTGAAGTAGTGGAGGGAAATCTGTAAATCTTTACTTGCCACTACTAATTTAGTTCCACTTACTGAGTCTTCAATTAGATTGGATAGCCAGAGAGGGAATTAAATTAATAGTTTTGGAAAGGACCTAAGATACTTTGGATATAGACTCATGAAAGTCTCGGAATGCTCAGACATTCAATCAAGATTAGATTAGATGAAGAATTGTCTTTCATTTTACTTCCAAAAATAAAAAACGATAAAAGAAAGAAAAAGTCTTCTTCTTTCTACATGTGAGTCAGATTCCTTGGATACTTCGAAAAATGTCCGTTTGCTTGTGTTTACATCTTGTCGATTCTACTAGAAATTCTATAATAAGAAAAATAATAACTCATTATAAGTTATAAGATAAGTGGGTTTTTGGAGTAGTTCATCAATGGTGACCAAATACCTCTCCCTTTTTTTTGACTCTGCACCAGTGATTTCACTATTATTAGTGAACAATAATGGAATAGTTTCTTCATATTCATAGAAATAGGGGGCAGAATTCACATGGATATAGTAAGTCTCGCATGGGCTGCTTTAATGGTAGTTTTTACATTTTCCCTCTCTCTCGTAGTGTGGGGAAGAAGTGGACTCTAGAAATACTTCTAATTGCGGTAATAATCAAACTCTATCAACCTGTATCAATTGTTTTCGTTTTCTAGACCGTTCGGCAATTTTTTTTAAGATTTTTTTTTATAAATTGGATTTATGTTTTATTGACTCATTTTCTATTTTTATATCAGGGTTTACACGGTTAACCATTCATGGGGTAACCCCTTTCGAAATCTGAAGAAGCTTCCATCGAATTGGGATTATCTGTATTAAATGGATCAAACAAACAAATGAAATTGACAAAGTATGTACATACATTTCATATTCTATTTCATTTATATTGACGTTTATAAATAAAAAGAGAGATATAGGCGGATTCTTTTATATTAAGATATTTCACTTGTATCTTTATACATTACAATAACCATAATGGCTAGTATGGTAGAAAGAGATCTCCTTCTACCATACTAGCGGACCCCTTAGGATACTACTACTGAGTCTAATGCATTCCTTTCATTTAAGACGAGAAATTGAAATCTTATTTTTTTTTCATTGATAGTAAAATTAGATTCAAATTAATCATTTTGACTAATGGTTTTTACGTAAATTATAAGCAAAAAAGCAGTAGGAACGAGAATGAAGAGTGCGGTAGCAATAAATGCAAGAATATTTACTTCCATAATTTAATCGTTTATTATTATTATTATTATTTTTTTAATATCTCGGGATTTAATCCCATAGAGATGAGAAATCTTTCGCTTGTAAACTCACTCAGATGAATTAGATTTCGATGATATCGAATGAAAGAAATATCATGAATAACAATATCGGAGCTATAAAATCGATTCATCGTCAAGAATTTAATAGTATAACATAGGAAGATCTTTTATCCACACCGAATACATAATGAGATTCCTGATCCAATAAAAAAAAAGTTATTTATGATTCTTTTTCCCGGCTTTCCTTTCTAAAACCTAGTAGTTTACTTTCCTTGTACAATAATCTGATGAAGTATCATAAAAAACTTCGATTCTTTACAAAAAGAGTTTCTAAAGAACCTTAAATAAACAATAGAAATCAATATAGAGAAAACAAGTACGAAGTTCACTTTGAAATAAAAAAATTGAAAGGGTTTATCATCTTTTTGGAAAACAAAGAAAGGGAATGTGACAAAGACGAGTCCCAGTAAAAAACAAAAATATTCAAAAAAATTAACTCGTTAATTTTTCTTACGAGTTTTTTATTCGACATCGCCTCTAATCTTTAAAAAGAGCATATTCACATATTCATTAGGGAAGACACGTTTTATCTTTATAAAAAAAACCTCTTTCCTTGGTTGGATTCGAACTATTTAAAATTCCTTGACTTCAGAGAAAGAAAAGTATATATAGGTACTCTTGGCAAATGTATTATACGCTATCCTATTCCATTTTCCTACACAAATTTATGGGAGAGCGGTTGACAAAAAGCGGAAACCCCTTACAGTATCTCTTTCTTGAAGTGTTGAATGTTCTCAATAATTCATTTACATATGTCTCTCTACCCTAGTTAAAATAATCGACCCTTTCTTTTGCTTTATGAAAAAAGAAAAATAAAATAAAAAGATAAACGAAACTATTTTCATCCCCTTGCCCAGAAACAAAAAGGGGAGTTGATGTATTGAATCCGCCGGGACTGACGGGGCTCGAACCCGCAGCTTCCGCCTTGACAGGGCGGTGCTCTGACCAATTGAACTACAATCCCATGGAAATCAAGTGGGTAGCTTACATATTCCTTCTTATGATTTCATTTTAATCATTTCAATTTTAAAATCAAATTTTTGTTTTGTAACAAAGAAAGTCACAAGTGATATATTGATATCTATATGGATATCACTTTAGTGAGAACAAGACGGATTACTGGGTAATCCTTGCATTATTATCAAATCAATTGATAATCTATTTTTTTTTTTTAATAGATTATTTTCTCGACTCTGTTCATTAAAGTTTCTATTTAAAGGATCCATATCGGAATCCTTAGCAAGATGAAGATCGGAATTTTTTATGGAAAAAAAGGTAACTAAACACAAGAAATAAAGACAAAAGTAAAGTCGAACTATACCCTGAAATTTGACCTTTTTTCTTACCCTTCTCTGTCATTTATGCAAAACAAAAAGGGTTATGTAGACAGCTAATTATTGGGCCGAGCTGGATTTGAACCAGCGTAGACATATTGC